ATACATACACAGAAGGTCCAAAAAACTTGAATAACGTGAAGCATTATTTCAACTTAACGACTCCAATCAAAAAGTATAAAACATGAACATGAGAATGTCACGACTGACGATCTTTATTAATAATAATTAATGAATAAACTATCACTAACCGTTCCGATAGCCGTTGGAATGTTAGTGTCCCATCTTCCTAATTAATTAACAATTAATGTAAATAATTAGAGATTTGCATTTAAGCTTTACTTTTACAATCCAAATACTTGCGCTCAACTCAAGTCTCCAAAATCCCCAATTAAAAAAAAAAAAAAATCTCCAAAATCAATTGACCTGATTAATTTTTTTTATCACTTCTCCAAATAATTAATATTTATTTAATAAAAAATAAAGACATGAAGATAAAGTTGAAATTGAACTTCCTTAATTTTTTAAAATCAACAATTGAGGTTGTAAAAAATATGCCTTGTTGACAACAGCTAATTAAATATGCCTTAAAAATCAAAATAGAAATATCCTACAATTCTCTTTAAAAATTTTTCAGTTTATTACAAAAATAAAATTTAATTTGAATATTTAAAAAAAATTAAAAAAAAAATCAAATTGACCGAGCAAGAGCATCATTAATGATAAAAATAAAATTGAAATAGTACTAGTAGCTTTCTTAAACATGGTCGGTCCAAGTTGAATTAATGGCATTTTTATAGGACGGTTGCACCTGTTTATTGGCGGGATTTGTATGCCTAACGCTTTAAATGAGACTTTTCCCTGTCGACAAAAAAGATCAAATCAGACAAATGCTTCTCAATTTTATATTTTAAGTAGTACTGTCTAATATTACAAAGACGTGTACCTAAATTACTATATTACTTGTATTATTTTTTTAAGAAAACATTAAATAAGCATTTCTTTTTTCTTTTTAATTGTTGGCCTGCATTTTCTCATTAAATAAAATTTACATCTAAAATACGAAGTTTCTTTCTAACTATTTCAATTTTGATTATTATTATTATTTTAATTAATTAGCATATGTACTTTCATGCTGACTTTGAAGTGGTATTTAAGTTAGTCTCTTGAGCAATGGCGATTTTAAATTTTGAATTCTAGATTTTGTAAGAATGCTTAATTAGAAAATTTTTTTTTAAAAAAAAACTATAGATCTTTATAAATAGAATGTATAAATTTTAATTCTTTTGTTTCAAAATATAAATCATTTTTTGTATGTTATTTTGTTCAAAAATATAAGTCATTTTGTATATTTCAACGGATAATAAATAATATTTTTTAATATTATCCTTGTTTATACTAAATATAATAAATACTTTATAAATAATTATTGGTCTTAAAATAAAATATAATTTAATCAAATTACTGTTGAATTTATTATAATCTATAAGCATATGTAAAAATTTTAAATGACTTATATTGTGGGACGAAAGAGTAATTTATAATATCTAAGATATTGATTTCAGCTAGCATGGTAAAGAAAAAAAAAAATTAAAATGAATTTCACATGTAGAAAATTGTTAAACGACACTCCAAAACTGCTTTGCCTAGTAGCGTCTAGAACGGTGTTTTTTCTCTATCTTCTGTTTCTATTATACTATTATATTTTTCTGTCAATTTTTTAAAACTTTTTTTTTCTAAAAAATTATTGTATTTTCTAAAAATGCAGGAGATCAAATTTTTTTTTTAATAAATCAAGTCATGTATTTTTGACAAACTATAAGAAGAAAACAATAATTTATCTATTAATTTATGGAGCGGCAAAAACTAAATACTATTTGGTTGATAGCCAAAAAAAAAAAAAAGTAAGAAAAGAAAAGAAGTGCAAAAAAAAAAAAAAAAAAAAAAAAGCCAAAAAAAAAATAAAAAAGTAAGAAAGAAAAGAAGTGCAAAAAAAAAAAAAAAAAAAAAAAAAAAAAAAAAAAAAAAAGGCACATAGAAGAATTGAATATCACTTATTAATCAATCAAAGCATCAAACTCTTCAAATTCATTAATCAATCAAAAGAAATGATTTTAGTGGAAAAAGAAAAGAAAAGGAAAGAAAAGAAAATAAGAGAAGAGAAGAGGAAGATGGTCCATTGGTTGGTTCATCCCATCTATGATCTATCTATATTCATTCATTGTAAGATTTTAACTGAAGGGCCCGAGTTTTAAAACTTTCACTACTTATTACTATAATTATTCCAAGTTCGAAAACACTATTCTTGCTTTGGTTTCACTTTTCGAAATAAAGGCTACATTTATTTCTTTGCCTCTCTCTCTCTCTCTCTCTCTCTCCCCTTCCTTCATTGCTCAAAATGATTTTTTTTTTTTTTTTTTTTTACCCTAGCCTTTAGTGTTAAATTACCAATATTCAAGATACTCTTATTATCAGAATAATGTCTGATCCAGGCTTTAGAGTTTAGTTCATATTAAAAAACTTTTCTCCCCGTGTAGTCTATTTAGTAGAGATTAGAATCAAAAGCTCTTCCTAACTATACTCAGATTGACAATATAGAATATATATTTTGCATCAATTACAAGTAGCTTTTATTTATTGTTGTTGATATTATTATTTTAATGGCAATTTCATGAGCTGATAATAGACCTGGTGAGATTTTCCTTTTTTTAGAACAGCATTATATTTTTTTTTTTTTTTTTTTTTACCCTAGCCTTAGTGTAAATTACCAATATTCAGATACTCTATTATCAGAAATTGTCTGATCCGGCTTAGAGTTTAGTCATAATTAAAACTTTTCTCCCTCGTTGTAGGTGTATTTAGTAGAGATTAAATCCAAAAGCTCTTCCTACATACTCAGATTGACAATATAAATATATTTTATTTTGCATCAATGTACAAGTAGCTTTTATTATTGTTGTTGTTATTATTATTTTAATGGCAATTTCATGAGTATAATAGACCTGGAGTATTTTCTTTTTTTTAGACAGCATATATAAATATCAGAAATTAAATTTTATTGTCCAAGTTAATTTAAAAAAATTGTGATGATCAACAATTGAAAACGATTAAATTCAAACAGCATTAATTCAAAAAAATCGTTTGGCTTGGTTTAATGTTTTAAAAAATGAATTTCAACGGAGAAAATTGATTGGTTTTAAGTTAGATTTTGATTTTATATATTTTTTCTAACTGAGTTTATTTTACATCCAAAATAATTAAAATAAAATAAATCAAAATCAAACTAAATTAATTTGAATTGTTGTGGTTCGATCACTGTGGTTTGAGTATTAATAAAAATTTTTTTAAAAAAATTAGCATTAAAGATTGAACTAATCCCAATTAGCAGGAGTTGTCATATGTTAAAAACTCAACAAGTAACATCGGAAAGTAATAAATCATAAATAAAATTTGGAGGCTCTTTCCAAAATGTTGAATGATAAATTAGATCCAAATGCTCAGCCCTTTTGAATTAAGGAGAATAGAAATTAGTGTGTCTTCGAATTGTTGAAAGTGCATGGTAAATAATCTGAGAGAGAGACAGAGAGTGACGAAGAAGAAGAAGAAGAAGAAGAAGAAGGAGAAGAGATTTCTTTAAGTATGAAAAGGTTAAGGCCGTGCGACGCTTTTGCAGCGGTTGCGTGTGAAAAGCAGAAAATTGGTTGAGAAGCATATAATAAAGTGAGAAAGGTGACTCTTTTTTTTTTTTGTTGTTGTTTTTTCAGCTGCTCATTCCCACTCTCCTCTTCAGAGCATCTAATTTCAAAGCATTTTTTTTTTTTTTTTATGTATTTAACATTGTTATAACTATTACTATCTTTCTTCATATGATTTATATTTAAATAAATTGTTCTCTTGTTTTTTTTTTTCAATTTTCTTTTACAATGAGTTAAAAAAAACTTAAAAATATACACATTTTCCCATGTGATATAGTTCTATAATTTAACTCGATTACATATTTCAAATTAAAATTGTATTTTTTTTATTTGTTGTATACGTGATTTATTATAAGAGTTTCTATAAAAAATATAAAAATATATTAATTTTTACCTTAATGAATTTTTAATTGATTTATTCTTAAAAAAAAAATATGAGATTCGTTATTAAAAAAAAAGTCTGAGATTCAAATTCTAATAATTATATTTTTAAAAATGAATAATTTAGAAGAAGCCTATCAATCCCTAATAAGAGAGAGTGTAACAATAACGCGCTTGAGGTAGCATGGTAGGAAATTTTTTTTTTCTGGCATGATTGAACCTAACAATTATAAAATAAAAATAAATTGAGATGAAAAGGCAGTCAATCTATATTCTATAATGGTCTTATATATTTATAGAGATTTAAAAAAATTAAATAAATAAAAAACAGTTAAAGTAATCTACTAATGAATATTCTCTCTCTACAAAAAGGTCTCTGTTCTCCCACACTTCCCATTCTCTCCTCGTTTATACAGACAAGAGAAAATAAAAATATATATAAATTATAATATTAGTTATAATATAATAATGATAATAAGCATACAAAAAGTGGAGCAGCCCGTTCTGCCCACACAGCATTTTCCAGAAATCCTTGCAACTCTTATTCTACTTCCCTCCCCTAACTTCCTATTCTCCATAAATTCTCTCTTTTATACACATCAAAACACAAAATAAAACAAAATAATTTTCAATTTTTCATGCAAATTACTTATATGTAAAATTTTAATTTTTTTTAATATTTATAAATTATAACTGGAATAGAAGTTGTTTCAAATTATTTTAAGGAAAAGAAATCTCATCCGAATATGCATTATATTCTATGTTCGTTGAGTAACCATGTATTGATGATCAATTTAAATTTTTAATTATTGAATATTACTCTAATGAGATCGGAGATTATGGTAATACTTAATTTGATTTTAATTTCTCCATAATATTTGAAAAATAGTTGGGTGGTCAAAATAATAGAAATAGTAATGTTTTTGTTATTAAATTTTATTTGTTTTACCAAATGTAAATTTATGAGAAAATTGTTAATTGGGATATTTTTGGGTTTTAATGATTCATAGGCCGTGATGATAGAAGGGAGAAGAGGAGGAAAGGGAGTAGAGAGGAAAGAAAAGAAAAGAAAAGAAAGAAACAGAGAAGGGAGAGAAATGGGGTGGCTATTGTGAAGCAGGGGATCTGATCTTTCCTTTTCGCGTTGAATTCTCCTCTACCCTTTTGTTGTGCGTTTCACACATAACATATACATACTCATACACATACATAACACTAGATATAAAACAAAAACCACCAGCACCATGAGAGAGAGATAAAAGGGGAAAAAAAAGAGAGAAAAAAAAAAAAGGAAGATTGGATGGATAGATCCCATAAGAGAAGAACAAGAAAAAGAAGAAGAAGGAGAAGAAGAAGAAAGGAAAGCTAAAGAAAAGATTATTATCTTTTTATTTACTTTCTTTGATTGATTTCTTTTGGTGATTGGATTTTCTTTCTTTCTTTCTGTATTCTGAAAAAGTTAGCCAATTTTGTCCATTCCATGTTAAAAGCTTTTTTTCTTTTATTATCAAATTAGATAATTTTCAAATTTCAATTCTTGAAGAAAACCCAAATCAGAAAGAGCTCAATTCTTTAATTCTTGATTAAGAAATGAGAGCTGGGCTTAGTACGATTCAACAAACGCTTACGCCAGAGGCGGCGAGTGTTCTAAACCACTCAATAGCAGAAGCTAGCCGTCGTAATCATGGTCAAACGACGCCGCTTCATGTAGCGGCTACTCTTTTGGCCTCGCCGTCTGGGTTTCTCCGGCAAGCTTGTATCAAATCTCATCCTAATTCCTCTCATCCTCTTCAGTGCAGAGCTTTAGAACTCTGTTTTAGTGTTGCTTTGGAACGGTTACCTACTGCACAGAATCTTAGCCCTGGCCACGACCCGCCTATCTCAAATGCTTTAATGGCGGCACTCAAGCGAGCACAGGCTCATCAACGCCGTGGCTGCCCTGAACAGCAGCAGCAGCCTCTGTTAGCAGTGAAAGTAGAGCTTGAACAGCTAATTATATCAATTTTAGATGATCCGAGTGTTAGTAGAGTTATGAGAGAAGCTAGTTTTTCAAGTCCAGCTGTTAAGGCTACAATTGAACAATCTCTTAACTCTTCCTCGAATTCTGCCGCTTCCAATTCAAGTTCATTTGGATTTGGGTTCCGTACGCCCGGGGCAGTGCCGGTTCCTTCACCAACTACAAATCGGAATTTATATGTGAATCCAAGATTGCAACAAGGGAGTGCAGCGCAATCTGGGCAACAGAGAAATGAGGAAATTAAACGACTTGTTGATATTTTGTTAAAGAATAAAAAGAGGAATCCTGTTTTGGTTGGCGACTCGGAGCCGGAGATGGTTGTGAAAGAGCTATTAAAGAGAATCGAAAATAAAGAAATAGGAGATGGGTTGTTAAAGAATGTGCAGGTTATTCATTTGGAAAAAGATTATCTTGATAAAGCGCAATTACTTTCAAAGATTATTGAATTAGGGGGTTTGATTGAAAATCGAATAGCGAATTTGGATTGTGGAGTAATTGTTGATTTGGGTGATTTAAAATGGTTGGTAGAGCAACCAGTAAACTTTCCCGGTGGTGGTGGTGGAATCCAACAGCAGCAGCAGCAAATTGTGTCTGAGGCTGGGCGGGCGGCTGTGGCAGAGATGGCGAAGCTGTTGGCAAGGTTTGGAGAGAAAAGTGGCGGTGGAAGGGTTTGGTTGATTGGAACTGCTACTTGTGAGACATATTTGAGGTGTCAGGTCTATCATCCTTCAATGGAAAGTGATTGGGATCTGCAAGTAGTGTCAATCGCTCCTAGAGCGCCTCTGCCCGGAATGTTTCCTAGGTGTGTATGCTACGATCATTTCTTTTGTTTGCCTTTGATGCTATAAAATCATTGCCACTGGCTTAATTTTTTTTTTCTGTAGCAAGAGAATTTAGTAAAAAAGATTTGGGAAGTTCTTTGTCTGATTAGTGTTTATGGTATCAAGAATTTGCTGTTTTTAGATTCCATGATATTTGCATTTGCAGAAATTATTCTGGGGAAGTTACGAATATTATATTCTGATTTGAAGTATATAGACTTTGCATCAGATCAGATACTCTCTTAATTTGGGGTTTGTATAAACTCTACTAGAATCTCATTTCTTGTCAATTTTCGAAGCATTTGACATTGGTTAAAAGGGAAGTTCTCGTTTAGAATAGCTGATTACTTTCAGTTGATTGATATCTTGTTTGCTTGCTTTTCCTTAGTTCTTTATTGTTGTGAGAGAAATTGTGATTGTGTTATTTCTAGGATTTATGGTCATCTTTTTGAATGATAATTAACATGATTTCATATTTGTCAATGTTTAGGTTTGGAACCAATGGGATTCTTAGCAATTCAGTTGAGTCTTTATCACCTTTAAAGGGCTTTTCAACTATTACGCCTGCTCCACCAAGACGTCTCACTGAGAACTTAGATCCTGCTCGAAGAATGAGTTGTTGCCCCCAGTGCATGCAGAATTATGAGCAAGAATTGGCACAGGTTGTACCAAAGGAATCTGAAAAGTCTTCTTCAGGATTTAAATCAGAAGCATCTCAGCCACTACTGCCACAATGGTTGAAAAATGCCAAGTCTCAGGAGGGTGATGCTAAAACAGTAGATCAGACAGTGGTAAGTTCAATTTAAATTGAACTACAAAACCGTCCTTGTTAATTTTCTTTCGCTCTTTTAAGTGGCAAATTATTTAGTCAGATTTTAACAATAAAATTGATTAGTCTTGTTTTGTGTTTTATATGCAGACTAAGGATCAAGAGTTAAGGTTGAAACAGAGAAGTCTAGAGTTGCAGAAGAAATGGCATGATACGTGCTTGCGACTTCATCCCAGTTATCATCAGCCCGATATTGGATCTGAGAGAATTACACAACCAGCTCTCTCTATGACGAGCTTGTATAATCCAAACCTGCTTTCTCGCCAGCCTTTCCAACCCAAGTTAAGTTTGAATAGAAACCTTAGTGGAACTCCACAATTGAACTCAAATTTGTTGCCCACCCAATCACCTGCTCGGTCGAATACTCCACCAGGAAGCCCTGTGAGGACAGACCTGGTTCTTGGGCGGCCCAAAAGCAGTGAGAATACTCCTGAGAAAGTCAATGAAGAACGCACTAAAGACTTTTTGGGTTGTGTTGCTTCTGAGCCGTTGATCAAGTTGCATGAATTGAATGCCAGCAAGCTTCTAAGTGCATTAGATGCTGACTCATTCAAGAGGCTTCTTAAGGGTCTTATTGAAAAGGTGTGGTGGCAGCGAGAAGCAGCTTCGGCAGTGGCTGCAACTGTAACGCAATGCAAATTGGGAAATGGTAAACAGCGGGGTGTTGGATCAAAGGGTGATATTTGGCTATTATTTACAGGTCCTGATAGGGTAGGCAAGAAGAAGATGGCATCAGCTCTATCAGAAGTTTTATGTGGGACCAATCCAATAATGGTGTCTCTTGGTTCACGGCGTGATGGCGGAGAATCTGATGTGAATTTCCGTGGTAAAACGGCACTTGATCGAATAGCAGAGGCAGTTAGGCGGAACCCATTAGCAGTAATCATGCTTGAGGACATTGACGAAGCTGATATGCTTGTCCGAGGGAGCATAAAGCGGGCCATGGAAAGAGGTCGACTTTCAGATTCCCATGGCCGTGAAATCAGTCTCGGGAATGTTATTTTCCTTCTCACTGCAAATGGGTTACCAGAAAATCTAAAATTCTTGTCCAAAGGCATTCCTCTTGATGAAACGAAGCTTGCCAGTCTGGTAAGTGGAGGATGGCAATTAAGGCTTTCCCTCTGTGAGAAAACAGCAAAGCGCCGAGCCATTTGGCTACACGATGAAGAGAGACCGGCAAAGCCTAGGAAAGATACAGGATCAGCATTGTCATTTGACCTGAATGAAGCTGCAGATGCTGAGGATAAAGCTGATGGCTCTCGCAATTCAAGTGATCTTACAATTGATCACGAAGACGAACATGTCCACAACAACAGACTACCAACACCCACAACTTCAACGTTGTCTCAAGAGCTTCTAAATTCGGTAGACGATAACATTGTTTTCAAACCAGTAGACTTGGGCCTCATTCGCTGTGAGATTTCAAATTCAATATCAAAGAAATTCGCCACCATTATCAGTGATGGAATCCCATTTGAAATCCAAGAGGAGGCACTTGAAAAAATTGCTGCTGGGCTATGGTTAGACGGAGCAGGTTTAGAAGAATGGACCGAGAGAGTATTGGTTCCAAGCATTCGCCAGCTAAAATTACAATTACCTACATCTGCCATTGCAGATGAATCCATGATCATTCGGCTAGAATCCAACAGTGATTCCAGTGACCGGAGCCGTGGTGAACGGCTGCCGAGCAGTATCAGAGTGGCAGTTGATGTGTCGTGAGATTATTACAGTAGGCACTCGTTTCTACTGGATAGAGATGTAAATATAGCTCAACTGTTTTTGGCGGGGAGGTGAAAACGGTTGACAGGGGTAAAACAGGAAAAGGTTAAAAAAAAAAAACAGTTAGAGAAGGGGGAGACGTTGATAGATTAACGAACGTTTAGCAGGAAAAGTCTCGCCTTTTTTTTTCTTTATTATTATTATTATTTTATTTCTTTATTATATGGCCTTCTTTATTTTTTTTCTTCTTGTTTTTATAGAGTTTATAGTATTTTGACCACAGATAATTTTATTTATTTACATGGAGTACCATTAATTAAATTAAAGCGAGGCATTCCTCTTCTTCTAGTAAATTTTTGGGTTTTAATTTTTTTTTTTAATTATTCCTTACACAAGTATTTTTATGTTCAGACGAAAAAACTATCGTATTTTGAATTTTTTTTATTTTTAAAATTTACCGGTAAAATTTGTCTGTTTATATTAAAAGATAAACTTCCGTTCATTATTATAATTTTTTATTATTGTTTTAAGAAGTGGGACCTAACTGTATGACGTGGCAAAAATGGTGATAATATTTTGGTTTCGTGTATGGCTATGGACAGTTACGTAAAATGTGTGCAATGTGGCGGTGTTATGATTAACAAGGGCCAAATTTTTGACACGAGTAACACTTTTGTAGCTTTCAATAATAAATATATATTTAAAGAAAAGGAGAAGTTAGATTCTTGGAATTTGGTCATATTTATAAATTATAACCTCCGAAATAATTTAAGAAAGTGAGAAGAAAAAGGACTAAGATTCTTGGAATTTTGGTAAATAACAGTCGGTCCGAAATTGAACATTTTGGAATTTCATGGTTTCCCCTCAATACCTTGTCCATTTTATCTTCTTTGTTCATGCTCATACATGTATATGCTAAATTCTTGTCATGATATAAATTTTAGCCTGAAATTTATCATATACACTTTAGTGGCGTGCCGTAAAATTAATTATTTTGAGAGCCATTAATTATTTGAATATTTCTCTTACGACATTAAAAATTAAAACATTAGATAAATTAACACTACTTTAATTTCTAAAAACTAGTTTAAACATTATGTCATCGAACACGCTAAAAAAAATAGTGTCTAGCATTTTTGACTGGTTAAGACGCTAAAAGTTATGTAAAAAGTTATTGTCCAACACAATCTTTTAATACTTGAGTTTTTTTTTTAAAAAAAAAAAGTTAACTACTAATTGTGAATTTAAAAAAAAAAATCAATTTTCAAGGGACAAATTCAACTCGGAAAGTGTTGTTATATGTTTATAGGTCAGTGAAATTGAAACGTGATGATCACCAGTACAGCAAATGGCCCCCATTCATAGAGAAGAAGAAAGCAAAGCAAGGAATTTAATTTTGGGTTTGACACTTTTTGATTAAGGTTCATTTAAATTAAGGTTCATTTAATTTGACCATAGATAATTATTTGAAAAAATTCATTTAAACTTTATCCATGATGTGAATTTTTAAATGCTAAAAAAAAAAAAAAATATATGAGTCTTTGATCTTTCAACTATTTTTTCATCCACCGTTAAAAGGTGGGAAAAATGTCCTTAATAATTATCTTGCTAGACACTAATGGTTAATTATGAGTAATCAACTATATACTTAGGTCATGAATTTCAAATATAGAGCATGAAATTAATATCAAATTATCCAAAAAAAAAAAAAAAGAAAATTTATACCCTATAGCTCCGTCAATAAATATATTTAAAATCCTAATTGCAATTATAACATTGTATAATTCAATAATAGATTACCACTCTCAATGTGTAACAATATATGTGTAAGTAACCAATTGTCCCTAGACAGTGTGAAAGGGCAAGCAAGAAAGGCACATCCATATCTAAATTTCAACTACACATGATTAAAACATAGGCAATTGAAAAGGAAATTTCCAATTCAATAAATGTAGACAAGGGATATTTCTCTTAATGTACAACTTTTTCCATGTTCTTATTTAATAAGCAACTTTATGCAAGAAAAAACCAAAAAATAGTTAATTAATTCTGAGAGTAATTGATGATTTGATTGGCAACAGTTTTTTAAGTAATTAACTCTAAATATTATTTTTTACAGTATTCGGTAACATCGCATTTAAATTAGATTTTAAAGATTAAGATAGCATTTTATAAAAAATTAATTCATGTAACGTTTTGCTTTTATATTCAAATGACTAACAACTAAATACTAATAAAATAGTTAACAACTATTAAAACAGTTAATTTTACTGAATAGATATTAAGTGTTTTAGAGGTCATTTTTCAATTAAATTATTAATACATTTTTTAAATTAATATCGACAAGAGATATGGGAGAAGATGTATAAGGACAAAAGATGTTGCTTTCATGGCTACATCATATAAAATGGAGACATGTACTATACTATATAGTAGTATTATTTAATTATAATATATAGTCCAACCATACATGTGTAGTCATTTATTAGAGCATCTATTTGTGGCCAAATCATCTTTCTCCTACACAGTATTGGCCCTTTCCATTTATTACAAAATCTCAATGCTTCTTCTTACTAGTAAGGAAAGGAAAGCTATGTTTTGTTTGGTTATATATCACTGAGAGAGATAGTTGGTGTTCAATTAGGATTTTTTTTTTTAAAAAAAAAATATATATATATAGATGAGGTTTAGAATTTTTATTTTTGAATATTTCAACTATAAATTTTAGTCATTTTTCGTTCTAAATCAATCAATAAAATAATAATTTATGCCACTTGTCATTAGCCAATAGTCAATAATTGAATTTTCTCATACTATAAAAAATTAAGAGTTTTCATTTCTTTATAAATTTTCGTTACATAAAAAAATAAAATTATTTTTACATTTATGAAATAATCCAATTTAGTTTCCATTCATTTACAAAATCTCAATTGCCTTCTTCTTACTTAGTAAAGAAAGGAAAAGCTATGTTTTGTTATTGGTTATATATCACTGAGGAGAGATAGTTGTGTTCAATTAGGATTTTTTTTTTAAAAAAAAAATATATATATATAGATGATGTTCTAGAATTTTATTTATTTGAATATTTTCAACTATAAATTTATGTTCATTTTTCGTTTCTAAATCAATCAATAAAATAAATAATTTATGCCACTTGTCATTAGCCAATATAGTCTTTATGCCACTTGTCATTAGCCAATAGTCAATAATTGAATTTTCTCATACTATAAAAAATTAAGAGTTTTCATTTCTTTATAAATTTTCGTTACATAAAAAAATAAAATTATTTTTACATTTATGAAATAATCCAATTTAGCCTAAGATGTATGCATATTGAAGGCTTTTTTATGATATAATTTATTCATCATGAACTCCCTTTCTTTCAGATTATTAGAAGGATGCTATTCGAAATGACGCCGTTGGATGGATGAAGAACATAATTAATTAAGCTCTCTCTTAAGTGTCCTTTAATTACAAAGATCAACAGTAAATGATTATTTAAGTAATCATTGTAATTTGTTCAAGTCACGTAAGACCAAATTAATCCTTATCCCTCTCTTGTTTTTTTTCTTAGTAGAGACGCATCATTCCTTGATATAATCATTCATATTATTATTAATATTATCATTTTCATTATACACTGAATCTATAATTTTTGAAAAAATAAATATTCGGTCACATCGAATTTAATCAATTCAAATTAAATATTTATAGAAAAATCTAATCAAATTTTCTTATTGGAATTTTAAAAATAGATTCTCTTTATTTTCCATATTTTTAGAAATATACTTCCTGACATGTTCTCGAACCATATTATTAATAATTGGCAAGAAAAAAGAATTTATATCATCGTTACAGTATAGAATAATAAAAATATTTAAATAATTAAGTGCATGATTTTATATAATATAATATAGTATAAAAAGAAAGGAGTTGTTGAATATTTGTTTGTATTGGAAAAAGGTAGAAATGACATAAGCAAAGGACACAAAGTATAAAGTTGTAAAGGTATCTTTGAAGGAGTTGGAGAAGAAAACGCCACTTTGCTTTTTTCACCTCTTTCAACTTTTTCTGCATACAGACAAAACCAACTACACCTTTCTTTCTCATCAAATACCTTTTTATGAGGATTATCTTATCTTTTTCTTTTTCTTTTTTTTTTTTTTTTTCTCCCTCCTATCCCACTTTCTTTATAATATAATATATAACTATTCATTTTGCATTTGTATATATATATATAATAATATATAATAAATATATAATAGGACACAACTTTTTTTTTTTTTTTTTTTTTTTTTCTGTCCTTGTCTCCTCCACCCACTTTCTTTTAATAATAATAATAATATAAACTATTCATTTTTGCATTTGATTAATTAAAAAAAAAAAAATAATAGGAACAACTAATCTAAGCTCCTCGTATGCCTATTATTATTAAATATTTGAATTCGAGATTCAGATCAGATTGAATCGAACCTTTTAGATTATAGTTTGATGTCTAATATTATTAACCTTAACCATAAAATTAGATGACAATGAAATTTTAATTAAATGTTTAATACAAATATATAAGATACGTCTTTAATGTTGGAAGATATTTTAAATTAAATTTCATTATCATTATTAATCTTCATTTTATAATTAACAAGTTTGAAATATGATACAAAAAATTTCAATCAAAATAAACAATTAGACATTACAAAAACGATATAAATAAAAACATACAAGCTCCAATTTTCTCAACAAAGTCCATCTATAACATAATTAATTTGACTGGTTTCATTATAGTTGAAGATGGGTATGCATGAAGTAGAGACAAAAGATCAGGCCAGAAAAGAAATAAGCAGGAAGAAAAATCTACCACTTTTGAGTTTTGAGCATTCGTTTGACTTGTGATTTTTCATTAATGAAAAGGGTTAGGCAATAGGCACCAAATTCATAATTTTGACTCCCGTTTCATGCGTTAATAAGTTTCATGATAGCCTTTCCTTTCCTTTCTCGCTTCGTGCAAAGCTTAGTTGATTCTCAAAGTCTTCTCCAAGAAAAATATGAAAAATGTATAATTTTATTTTGAAAATGGTTTTATTACGATTGTTGACTAAAAAAATTCACATTTAAAAAAGTTATAATTATGTCGAAATCTCTCAACTAAGAATTAGAATTACACATTTTATTTTATTTTTAAAAAATAATTATACATTTATCATAATTCTTCATCGGTCTTTCCTCAGTTGAAAAGATATTGAAAGTTTGTGGTTGTAATTTTGATTAATTATGTATAAA